CAGGTGAGTTGCTGCGACGAAATTCTCTCGTCGGCCTTGATTGATAGCGATTTCCGGGCGATGAGCTAGGTCGTCGTGGAGAGAAGGATCTTCCTGGGGATCGTCCGGGACGATATGACTGTCCACGTGCTCGTGCTCGGCAGTCCCGTAGCAGATGACCTCTTTTGCCGCAATAGAGGCAACTTTGCTCCAAAGCATAAGGGCAAAAGGCCACCTGATGGTCATGAGCACCACATCCATAACATGCGCGATCTTGAGGAGTGGGCCAATTTCGCGATGTCTGTGGTCCACCTGACGCTCCTCGTCGGATGGCATGTGTATGAGAATCGGAAGTTGGCTCCGAGTCCGATGATGACGCTGCGAGGGACATGACTAGTTTCTGCTGAATTTTCCCCAACTCTTCTTTCAGCCAGGAGTCTCCATCATATATATGTGTTCCTTCCAAAGCGGCAATGGGAAGGTCGGTTGAAGTGCCGATAGAGGCGTTGAGCTCTTCGTCTCGAGCTGCCTCCACGGTGTCGTCAAGGGTTGCGGTTTTCTTCGACAGTACCGCTCTGCGGACGACAGGGCTGAGTCCCTTAGCGAATGTCATTTTCGCAATCTCGTTAGTGAGGACTTTCCCTACCTCACTATCAGCGGTAATCTTGTTTCCGAGGAGGAAATCATCAAGTAAAAGTTTGACCCTTTGACCGTAATCGTAGACTTTCTCTGTCGGCCTTTGCGAGACAGAAAGTAATTCAGACAAGGCCGAGGCTGGGTCCTTCTTCTCACCGAACCGTTTCCTGAATATTTGAGTAAATTCCTCTAATGAGCAAGTTAGCAATCCTGGGCGTGCACGAACATATTCCCGTGCGGGTCCTTTGACACGCAAAGCCGCCAAGTGCAGAATCTGTCGATCCTGATAGACTCCTAAAACTTTCACAAGTTGCAGTGACTGTAGAAAATCTTCCAGTGAGACTGATCCGGGAGTTTCCCGGCCTTCAAAAATGGGTATGAATAGCGACGCGTTTGACAAGGAAATCATCTGGGGCAATGGCGGATTGCTTTGGTTAGTTTCAGTAGTTAGTGGAGGGTCGGGAGTGGGAGTAGTATTCGCGTCGGGCGCTGAAGTAATACTCTCATCGGGGGCTTTTTCCGCCATCGAACTATCGGGTGAAATCATGCGCAGCGCTACAGTAAATAAGTGATTTCGAGGGAAAGAGGATAGCAATTAGCGCGACAGCCCGGAATGTTTTCTATGAATTTGGAAGAGGTAAATATAGAACGGATGTTCCTGGTACCGACCAAATTTTCGGGAATCAATGAAGATCCAAACGCACGTCGGGGATCACCAATGTAGGTTGATGATCGCCCACTGCTTTGATTTATCTAGAAAAGTACCTGGGGATGTTATCTGCGAAGGTTGCGGTGTTCGGAGAGGTTCGTAAGAGAGACCTCTGTGATCGGTAGCAGGTAGTCCGTTAGTTGCGCAAACCGCAGGTGCGGCTCAGGTGGAATGCGTTAGATGACGAAGTAGTGGCTGCCCCTTCTGTGACAATTTTAAAGAAGAAACTGGATGCTTTTATGGACAAGCAAAAAGGTGTGGGGCAATGTTGACGTTAGGTACTAGACAGTAAGTAACTAGGATAGGCAAATAACAAAAAAAAAAAAAAACAAAACAAAACGAAAAGACAAACATATTTAGCTTTAAGAGGGTTAGGCCTACCCTGAAATTAAGGAACGCTCGACACGTGATATCGAAATGGGCGAAATCGCCTCTTGATAACACTATCTTGAAAACTAGCAGACGACGGCTGTCTTCCAATCCGAGAGCAGGATTTATAATGAGGTGATATGGCTTCCTTCATGTGTTGTGAGCTTCAGGCAGTCTGCTCTTTTCATCTTGGGGTTTCATGGCATCTGGAAGAGTTTTATAATTCGTTGGCCTTTGCCAAAATATCCTCATAAATGTCGAAGATCGAGGAAGAGTGGAATTTACACTGGCTGGTATGGCATAATGATGCCATTAAGTTGCGAGACGCTCTTCGGGCAGCTACAGAGGTGAGTTCAGTCAACCTTAGACTTGACATTAGACGTTTGATAGGAACTAAGGCCTCTTTTTCACGGGCCAATAGGATGGATTCGAATGAATTTCTTTGGTAGACTTAAGTGTATCAGTAGGTGGTAAGGTTTCAAGTTGGAAGCCGTAATGGATTTATTGTGGGTTGTGGTGTCAGGCCATCTGAAGGGTTAGGACCCATTTCACAAGTTAAAGAGATAAAGAATATAAATTTGAAGCATAGAAATTTCATCCAGGCTACTGCAAGCCATGGCCAAGCTCTAGCTCAATTTATGTACCACTTCTATAGGGTGATGCATAAAAAATGTCAAGATATTAGTGTTCATTTCTTGACTTATAGATGAGCCTGAGACCAATAACCATGCATTCATTTATTTATCCTCTCAGCCCCATGAAAACATAAATTTGTAGCTGCCAGGGTACACTTGCAGCAGCTATTCAACCTAGACACCTCCAAGTTTCTCATGCCATGCATCCTTCAAAGGGAGAGGGTACTGGGGAGATGCAGTATGAGTATGATGCCAAGCCAATGTCTTCAAATGAGGACCCATTACTCATCTTTATGGTGAGGTGTGATATGAAAATTTTCAAAGTTCCTCAGTTGAATAGCTGCTGTGGGTGTCTGGTACCTACAAATGCATAGTTATCATATATCAGGGAGGAAAGATAGATGCATACTTGACATGACTTGTAGGCCTCTGCCTCATCTGAGAGTTGAGAAATAAATGTAAATTTCTGTTTTTTTAAGTGCCACCTTGTATTAGGAATTATTTATATCAGCTATTTTGAAAGAAGAGCTTGAACATTGCAAGATTCAACATACCTGATTAATTTATATACTGGGTATGCTAAGAAAAAAAAAGCATCGTGTTTGAGACCTCACAAAGTTTACTTGTAGAAATCCAAGATTTGCCAAATTTCTTTAACATAGAAAATGTTCTCAAGTTTGTATCAATAAAGTTTTGAAGTCTCTTGGCCTTTGGGTCAACAACAGCAACAGTCATTGAAACTTCTATGAGAAAATCTAGCTTTCCATGCATTGGTAGACAGCAGTTTCAGCAGTGTCCTTCAGATGCATCCTATTTTTTGCCAAAAAGCCAGCTGTGGTAGCATTATTATGGTAGCATTCTTATTGCAATGTCATTGAAAGCACAGTGTCGGCATGTCCTATCTTTTAAAGGAAAGGTCACTGGGTTAAAGGGTATTTTTAAAAGAAGACCCAAGAAGGAAGAGATTCTGCAGAAGAGTCCATGCTTTGCTATCAAAGCATGGACTCTTCTGCAGAATCTCTTTCTTCTTGGGTCTTCTTTTAAGTCTCACCATGTGGTGAATAGGAAATGCTTGAAATATTCATGGTGTTTTCAATTGAAAATAGCATAAGTATTTGTTAAATGTATGCTTGTTACCATCTGGGAACATCTTAAAAATAACAAGTCAGTACCATATCTGAGTAAAAGACCTTTGGCCTGATTTTGTAGCAATTTCTTGTTTTTTTAAATATATTATATCATGTCTTAAGAATATATATTTTGCATATTTGGTCTTATATCTTTATCTTAATATATTTCTGACTTCTTACAAATTCTACCTGCTGTGCTTTCTCTCATTTGGCAAATTTATCATTTTTTGGCAATAATACAAAACTGCAATAGTATGACCTAATTTCAACAATTTGATGCAACATATATTTTTTCAGTCCCTCTAGGAAAATGTGTATGAAATTTGAACGTTTTTCTCAAAGACTCTCATAACTTATTCTTTAAAGGGTTAAAATCTACTCCCATCTTAACCCAATATTTATCCAGGTCACAGATCTGCAACAACCTAAAATGACTTCTTGAAGTTATTAGATAAGTTTCTTTTGGAACTTGCCTAAATTTTGCAGAGCTACACTTACTTAAGTTTTTGAGCTGTGCTCCCCTCATCCAATGAATGATGGCCAAAAAAAAGTAAGCCTTTGCTTTCTTTGCTTTAAATCTTTGCTTTAAAATCCATATTTTTGAATGGATTGTTTGACAATTTTGAATGAATGTTTTTTATTTTTATTATGTTCATCAAGACCTATTGTAGTTTCATGCACCTTTGGTTACCCACTCTTGAGTTATGGTACATTATGTCAAAATGGTCAAAATTCTGAGTGAACAGGCATGTGACTGCTGCTGCAAGGCATGAATCTACATTCAATTTCCATTTTAAAGAAGAATACGTTATTCTGGACAGATCATTGGGAAAACTTAATAGGATGTTGTAAAATTGATTTTTTTGTCATCTGAAAATGTAGTGCATTAGCATAAATTTCCAGGTGTTCCCATGCACTTGTGAATTTCTGCCTCACAACAGCAATCGCAACTGATCTTGAAGAACATATAAGACAAGGTTCATTTAACTTTTCAAGTCAATCCAATCGAAAATATGGATTTCACAGCAAAAGTAAAAGTGGCTTATATTTTTTTGGCCAACCCTCTAAAAAAAAAATAGTGACTGAAGCAGAAAGCAAGGCTTCCACCCTTGCTTGCATTTCTGGGATTCTGTGATTTGACTAATGTCATACACAATAATGATGAGTGCTTGAACCTTGTAAAGAGTTCTCATCTAATTTGTGTGGAATTGATACAGTTTTTTTTAATCTACTTCATAGCTTTTTTTAAATTATTGTACTGTGGTATGTGAGATGAAAATGGATCTTGCAGTTCTGTAACATTGGGTGAGGGTGAATATTGAGACAATACATGCATTTTCCCCCTTCCCATATATGAGGTGACCATTCCTCAACTCTTTTAAGTTCATTGCAGAGGAGCTGATGAAAACAGTAACATACATTACTACTTGAGGGCTGTGGCTACCCAGAGTTTCTGTTGTGGAGTCAGACCTTCCTATGAAGCAGGAGCAAGGCAGCAACACAGCTTGGGGGTGTTTGTTGCATGTTGCTGATCATCTAGACCACTTGGTCCTGGAAACAACAGGGATAAAACATGTCCAGATACACTGGCATTCCAGGTTTCAAGTGTGAAAATGTGCATTGTAGTCAATGCCAATGTGCTGGCTCCCGGTGCTTGCACACCTCCCTCCACCACAAGTACAATGCCAAACAGCTACATTGCAGGAATACAATAAGGTCATACATCACCAAGACCTGATCCTGAGAGATCAGGACCCTGTACCTCCGAACCGCCTCTCCTCATGACGGCTGTGCTGGACCAAAGTGGCCTCTCCTCATGCAGCCAGCATCAATGAGGGACAGAGGTGGAAACAAGAATGGGCCTCGGCAGATGTAAAAAACATAAAGCCTTGTCCCAGATCCCACCACTGAGCCTCCAGGTTTCAACCTTCCTCGCCGCCAGTGGACCACCATCAACCACATCAGAACCCAACAAAGACAATGTGGACACCTGATGCACGAATGGCACATCAAAGACAGTGTGAGATGAGACTGCGGTCATGACCAGCAAACTGTCAATCACATCGTCAAAGACTGCTGCATCTTCACCTTCAGTGGTGGAACCACCGAAGTCCACTCCGCCTCTCCTTAAGCAATCAAGTGGATTAAAAACCTCAAAATACACATGTTAAAAAAAAAGCTGTTCCATCATCCATACAAAGGAAGATGTGTGAAAATGTGGTGTTTCTTTGTAGTAATATCCACCTGCATCCACTGGGGGTGGACAGCAAGTGAATGGAAGGAGTTTAGGAGATGGATTTGGAACCAGGTGGTTGCCTCACCCTGGGTGAATTATGAATTGGGTAGAAATCTTCCAGCAGGTAATTTCCACCTAGGCGACATTTACCTGGTTCCAAATCCACCTTTAGGGGTGAACATTATTTTAAGGGTGAAAGCTCTGTATTGAAGTGTTTCAATGTCTATCATATTCAGTTGAAGATGCATGTCACAATGTTGGCACATTGTCTGGAGCCATGAAAATAATGGTCTATGAAATTCTTGAATTAGAAAATGTTCTTTATAAGCTCAATGTTACACTTCTGCAACAATGTTGTTTGGAGAGTATTTGAGCACCTGGGACAGAAAGTAACTACAGAGATCCTTTATTGGAACCATTGGAAGGCTACTATTTATAAGGAAAAGAATTTTAAAAGGATTTTGATATTTGGTACATAGAGGGTTAGAGGTGTTACATGTGCTAGGGATGCTAAAGTTCTTCTTTACTTGTAATGCAATCACTTTCACATATGTTAATTTCAGGACAAAATTGAACAAAAGGATCCTAGAGGACGGACTCCACTGATGCTGGCTGTTACTCTAGGTCATCTGGAATCAGCTAAAGTTCTTCTTGAACACAATGCTAATGTCAACATTGAGAATGATGAAGGTTGGTCAGGTGAGTTTTTTAAAGTCATTTCTGTCTTGGTTTCTTCATCTTTCTTTATCATAGATCTATCCAAATCCTTCACAAACATGTTTTACCATCTTTTGAACTGACATGTGAGATTTACTTCATCCCCTGGTAACAATGGTCAATGCCTCAAGTTTATTCTTCATTTAAAAAAAAAAACCCGCTAACTCAAGTGAAGGATTAAAAGGTGAAAGTCAACGAAGTGAGCCAACAAAGGAGGAAGGGGGATTGAATTAAGTGTTACTAATGGGACCTCATCAGATAGGGTGAAAAAGATGGAATGGCTGATTAGAATTGTTAAGCATATGAAGTCAGGTGACCAGGCAGTCATATTTCTTTGGAGGCACATATACCTCTTCCTCATCCAACATGTGGAGCAATATCCTTTACATGCATTTTTGCATGCAATACTTCATTAGGTCACTGTAGAGTGACCTCATTCATAGCCACTATAAAATTTAAGTTATCTGAAATGTGAAAAACTAAGAGTAGACACCAAGTGAAAATGAGAGACTGACAGGAATAATGGCAATGTTTCCCTCTTGCAGAAATTTCTGATTTCATACTCTTCCCATAGGCTTCTGTGAGGGGAGGGGAGGAAGTAGAATATGTCAATTTACCTTGCATTATAGAGTTTTTCTTTGTATTTCATCCAGGAAATCAATAACCCCATTATATATAATTTCTTCACGTTCATTGTATTGAACCTAAAGTTAGCTATAAGAAAATTAAGAAAATCACAATTGAGAAGGGACACATGGTTTAGAATATCAGGAAATCCAAGATAGGTAGATTAGAGACAAAAATAAATGTTCAATATTAGTGGTTGAAATGACTGGATATGAAATTATAGATAAATTGGAGTAACACAGCTGGGAAACTGCAATATTTCAATAGAAATTCAGTTCAGAATAAAACCTGCCTCATAAAATAAATAAAAAATAAAATAAAAGAACTTAAAGGTCAAAGGATGATCCATGAGCACATGACAAAATTAGGTGTCACTTCATGCTTTCCATTGATACTCATGTCATTCTTATCCATTGCACCCAAGAGGGTGAGTTTCCTGGGGAAAAAAAAAACATGCAAACAGTGAGCAGTATTATTGTGTTAGAGGTATTCTCTGTAATTCTACTAAGGCTAAGCACTGAACAACAATAGACCTGAAAGTTTTCAATTGTAACAGGATTCAACTTAACAAGTTTCACTTGCAATTTGAAATTTATTTTCAGTAGGGATTATTCTCTTGAATTCCAGTTGTTCAAGAAGCAAATGCAACTGGAGATCCTGAGCTCTTGATGGTAGTCTTGGAGAGTAGAAATGCCCAACGATTCCAGACTCGCAGTCAAGGAATTCCACAGCTCCTCAGAAAACTGAAAGAGGTGTACATAAGTATTGTCTAATTTTGGTGATCAAAATTGATAGTTATGTGGCAGGATTCATGAAGGCCCTATGATTCTTTTTGTAGGCCCCTGATTTCTATGTGGAGATGAAGTGGGAGTTTACCACTTGGGGTAGGCCCTTCTTTTCTTTCTCTTCTCTAATTCTGATTTGGAAATATGTTTCTCACAAACATGAATGTCTCTGCAGTCCCTTTGTTGTCTCGTATCTGCCCATCTGACACCTACAAGGTTTACAAAGAAGGGTCCAATGTCCGCATTGACACCACACTCCTAGGTTTTGAGCAGAACAAATGGGTCAGAGGGAACAAGTCTTTCATCTTCAAAGGAAGACGTGAGTCTCTCCATTTCACAATAAAGGACACATTGAATGGAGACAACCCTAAAGATTTTCTGTGCATGAGATGAACTTGCATGCTGGTGAACAGAAATGATCTTGATGCTTCTTTTCAGAGATTTCTTTCCCCTCTGCAATCTACGGACACAAAAGCTTCATCTATCGCTTGGTTGGAGGTTGGATGAAGTTGGATAATGAGTTTTACTTTGTTGTGATTGGAAATTTTCTTTTGTTGATCCTGCACCATATACAATTGGTCCTTTGCCCATGAACATGGTGGCTGTGAAGTTTGGATGAATTTTAATTTTTCTCTTTGCTAATATTGAGAAAAGTGAGACACTGAGTTGTCCTTGTATGGGTCAGGTAGTTTAAGGTGTTTTTTATGATTACCAGCATATTATCCATCAATAGCTCTTGAAGGGTTATGCAAGGGTCACATGAAGGGGAAAGTTTTGGAGACGAGTGTGCTCGAATGAAAGAGTGTGCAATTCAACTTCTCCATTAGTGAAAGTTGAAAGTGATTAAAGTGTGCAGAATTCTGGAAAATTCAAGAATTTTGCTTCAATAGCAGAGGAGTTCAGGTGATCCATCTGCTTGGTTGAAAAAGGAATGAATGCTCAAAAGTGTCTCAAATAATTCCCCAATAAAAGAGGCTTATTCAAAAAGTTTTTTGAGGAGAATAAGTAGGATGACTTTGCAAGTTTTACATGTAAGATTTTCAATGCTATGGGAGATTTCTTCAAAGTGTTTTTATTTTTAATTTTATAAAAGTCTTTCTTTTATGGCATTCTTTCATCATCCATGCGAGAAAACTTTCTGGCCTTAGGTGAAAGGCAAGTTGAGATAGCACATGATTTGAATATTTCAACATTGACCTATTGAACATGAATAAGTGTTGCCATAAACTTGAAGAGGATGTGGCACACATACTTTCAAGATGCAGGAATTGATGCAAACGAAAAATTGCAATTTATTCTTGGCAAATGATATTCAATAGAAGGAACAGAGTCCAAGTTTTCTAACTTCCATGCAAAAAATGTATTTTTTCACATTAGAGGTGCAGTTTTATTCTCCAACAAAAAAAAAGAAGAAAAGTGAATGGTCACTCTGGCAGTTTCTCAATAATACAGAGAAGTCATTAATCCAGACAAATTCACCAGTCCTTTCATGTCCAGGTTAAAGGGAATTGCCTGTAGTTGGAAATTCTCTACTTTTCTCTCACCACAAATCATTCAATCTTGGCTATGCTCTGCTAATTTTTTTAATTGAAAGCCTCTGTCTCTCTATGCTTTCAAATAGTTTGACCCATGTATGGTGTTGTGCAAGGAGCATGAATCATTAGTATTTTGAAAGTTTTAGCTATATGAAAAAAAAATCATCTCTTGCACATCTCTGTATAAATATGGGGTGGGCCAAAATAAATTTGGGTTATCTTAATCACTCCACAGCACTGGTCCCAAGGAGTTAGCTAAAATTGCAATAGCACCTCTTGGTAGAAAATTTATTCAGCTTTCTAACAATTTCAACAGAATAAAGATTCATAGCATAACATTCATGCAGTTAAATAAGGAGTATAAGAGGTGGCACTGGAAAAGTGAAGAACATTCTTGCAAGATTGTGAATGTGCTAGCAAAGGAATGGATGTCACCTGGAGCATATCTTATAGGTTACTGGTAAGCAGTATAGGAAAAATACATATTTTTCCCACAAACCTGATGTGACAAATTGGAATTTCCTGGAAGGGATATGCAAGCGGACTAAGTGGGCCACCTGCCTGCACATCTCCATTCCCGCGAACCTTGTTCTCAGGTTTGCAAGGGTTTTCCTAGCATGCTGATAAGTGCACCTTTCAAGCACTACCTCTGTTACACTCTGTCTAACTGCATCAGAATGATGGAATAAATCTTAAATCCTTTGACATCAGTGGAAAGCCAAGTAAATGCCACAGCAATATTTTCAAACTTTAGAAACTGCATTGTATAGGGTTAAAGATAACCCAAGCTTTTTTTGGCCTACCCTGTAGTCTTCTTGGGTTAGCAGAAGAAAATATAAAATTTATCCTAACTTGATAACCACCTTTTCCACATTTTGCATGTGTTTGCAGATATACCTATCTATAGCTCACACTGACACCGAACCAGTTCTTTGTAGAGGCCTAAGTCTTGGCTATATGAGGAACTGTAAGGCAAATGCATGCACTCACCACACTGCAAAAACCATTGTATTCCTCATTTGTTAGAATCATTAGCATTGCTATACTTAATCTCCATAAGTGATGGTATATATTAGATTCACATATTCTGTGTCAGATGATGGTGCTCAGTTGCTGGAAGTAGACCATGACCGTCGAGAGGTTTATAGTGTGGATCTGGGAATCAGAGAACTGGAGGGTGAGATGATGCCAACCCAGGATGCCGTAGAAGGCCGTCTCAGCTCCCCAATTGTCACCACTTATGTCAATACTGACAAGATATCCTTTGAAAGGTAGACGGTACATAGCATTACAAATATACACTTTATAACATCAAGTGATTGTACAGGATGGTAAACCATTCTTTTTCTAGAAACTTTATCCTTGTGCTCAGTAGAGCAAACTATGCATATGATATATTTTTGGTAAGCCCTGGATGAGATCTTTCAATTGAACCAATTTTTGCTGAAAAAATCTCACATCTGGATGAAGTTACATGTATTTAACTGAGGTCCAATTTCTTATTTTAAAAAGCCTTCAAAACTGGGTTTCAAATACACAAGTTAGACACTTGGTCAATTCTCAATCCAGCTCACACATGTCCTCTTGAGCTCTCAGAGCACCATAAGCAGACTGGAACCAATTTGGTTACAATCGAACACCTTAATGACTTCTACTATTTAATTTGTTTATGTTGTCTTTTGATAATGTTTGATCAGTTTTTTGACACCAACTTTGAATGTGATTTTTATTGGAGCAAGCTTTAGCGAAACATGCTTTGATCCTGCCATCAGTCAAATGAAAGAGCCATTTTTGGTGTACTTGTATGACAAGAGCATGCAGGGCATAAAAACCATGGAAACACTTGATATGATTGTTGGTCATGACTGATTGGATGTGCCGGGCTGCCACACAAAGCTTACAAAAACAGAATTGGGTGCATGTGGTAGTCTGGTGCAATATATTTTCAAGAGCTGAAAATTTACATTTCAAATGTCAAGTTATTAGATCTATGGAAATGTGACATGGATGTTTATCCAGCTTTTTCCCCTGACCTCTGCAGAAATGCATTCAATCATACTTCAAATCTTGAAAAATTGATAACACTGGTTTTTACTATGATCGCAAGAAGAACAACATCAAACAGTGAATCGAAGATGTGATCTGTGTTCCATTGTGACAAAACTGGTTTCAGTCAGCTTTTGGTGCCCTGAGTAACTAGGTAACTGTAATGATATTGCTGAATTTCAATGTGCATCTCTTTAAAAGGAAACTTAATCTCAGTGGATTCTCCCATCATGAAGCATACTGAAACTAATAAATGGAGATTCTAGTTGACTTCGTGTGGATTGCAAGTCAATGTGGAGATTCCTTGGCATTGAAATAAAATTGTTGAGTTTGTGTCAGATACAAAAGAAATTTAACTTTTCTTTAGAAACAAGAGTGGGATTTGGGGCTGGCGATCAGACCGGTGTGAGACAATCAATGGGCATCTGTGCAAGGTGTTTAGTGCCACCAATGTGGAGCTGGTGACACGCACCCGCATGGAGCACATGACTGAGGATGAGAAGCAGCGATGTCGAGAGGAAGAAAAGGATTCCTTGCAGCTCATTGCTCCCCTGCAGACTCTTCTTGGCATTCTGGAAACAAGCACTGTCAATGAACATGAAGCAGATGAAAATGTGAGCAGAAGAAAGATATTTTGAGGGGATTTTAATAGAGCCTTCTTCATCAGTGAAAGAAAAATCCATTCAAGAGTTTAAAATGTTGTGCTCAGCCATACATGTACTGCTGTGCCATCCATATATGTTGGAGAACAGCTGTACAGGTATGTTCCTCAATTTCAGTGGTGAATATCTCTAGCTGTACATGCATAGCCATGACTGTGGCCATAATCAACTTTATTTGAACATGCAGCATTTTGAAGAGTGTACCCACCACCTGAAAAAAAACTAACTCCCATGCACAGAGCCAACTGCAGAAAACTCTATACTGAAAGGGTTAATATTAAGTCTAGTTATTGGGACTCAGGTACTGGCTCCCCATCCTTGAATATCTCTCACTTCTATTTCTTTTCACCCAATTTCAAGTCATTGAAAAGTGAAAGTAGGAGTGGTGGCACTGACAGGCAGATCCTTGAATTGCTCATTGTGGTGGGGGTGTGTGTTTTCTGATTAAAGCAGATGGGAAAGGGGTTCTTCCTCCTCCCCCATTGATCTATAACTGCTGACTCACTATCAGATACACGAATCAATGTACTAACCAATACTTTCACTCTGACATGAGTCTGTTGAAGGCAACGAAATGAATTTAGGCCCTATGGAAAGCTGAACACTGTTGGGCCCAAATGCTGAAACCTCCTTTAGTTAACGCTCCTTTAAGAATACATGTATTCCTATGGGAGGAAAATAGCTCTTTAGCTTAAATGGCCCTTTACCTCCCTCCTCCTTAGTTTGTGCATTCAGGACTTAGTCTTTGCACACCAAGTGGTAAGGATTTATTATCATGAAACTCAGGCAAACTTCAGTGCTGCATTTTTAAGCATGGGTGTTAAATGAAAGAATGAATGTTGACATGAATCATGGCAAAGCAAATATCAGGAAAATTAGGAATCTAACATGAAAACTAAAATGGAAATTCATTTTCTTGCAAATTTGATCTTTAAAATGGCAATACCAGATGAAACATTGATGAATTTCATGGATGTCATTTATCTGGATAAGAGTAGTACATCTAAATTTGGAACATGGCGTGACTTGCACCAGATCCATTTAACTTATAACATGTTTTTATTGTGGGCATCTATGGGATTATGATTATCTGTGTCAAACTGATTCCCATGGGGGACCATTGTGAGATCAGAATAGTTGAAGTTAAATGGATCTGGTACATGTCACCCATGTTCTAGTGTAATGTCATGGATCTGTTTGATTGCTATGAACTGGATGCTGTGCAGAAATGTAAATTTAGTCTGTGTGAACTTTCCTTTGAGTTACTGGCATTCATCACTATAGGAAAAAGAAGAAGGGATGAGTCGAAATGCAGGCCATGTGACCCCTGAGGAGTATTTTGACCCTGGAGTGGACCTGGGAGGTCGAGACATTGGAAGGCGAAAAGAGATGACAACCAAGATACAGAAGTTCAAGGCCACCCTTTGGCTTTGTGACTCATATCCACTTATGCTCCCTGAGCAGATCTTACCAATTGTGGACCTCATGGCCCTCTCCTCTGCCCATTTTGCCAAGCTCAGGGATTTCATTCAGCTCCAACTTCCAGCTGGTTTTCCTGTCAAGATTGGTCTGTTCCCCATTGTAATTTTACTTCAGGAAATGCTTCTGCAAATAGGGTAAACACTCCAGTTTTTGGCCACTTAAGCCCCAGTTTTTTGGCCACACCAATACAACTCCCATAGGAAGTGGACACCCTGTGTGCACACTGGGAAACACTAGTGATAGGTCCTTGTACAGGAGGATATTGATAGAATGCTTGAAAACGGCAAGATTAACTAATTATGCTGAATTTAAGCCTCACTGGCCAACAATTGGAGACCAGCCAGAAACTGGGGTGCTTATCCTATATAAATATATTGGATATTCATTCTGGCTAGTTCAAAATGTTTGAACTCTAATGAAACATCCTGAAGCCTGTTGGATTTGTAATTTCACATAAGGGGTTGGAGACAATGCTACAAAATATCAATGTGGTCTCCCCAATCTCATGAAACCTTTTCATGAATATTTCATTTTGATAATTGATCAATTTTCGTTTCCTACACTTTCCTGATGACCATTTCTGCTCATATTTGGCCCATTGAACTGTCCTATCTTGGTCTGATCTGCTGATTGCAGAGATTCCCTTGTTTCACGTGCTCAATGCAAGCATCACCTTTGGGAACATCTTTGGGTTGGACTCTCCAGTAGAAGGAGTGCAATACCTGAATGAAGAGGACACAGGTCGGTTGTCATGTGTCCTGTCAGAGTCATGCTTTCAACCTCCACTTGGCTACACCCACACTGACACTGGTGTGTCCCTTCCTCTGTTTTTTTTACATTTCATCTCTCTGGGAATTTTTATCCTGGGAACTTTAAATGCTCATGATATGATGGAGTTGTATCTTATCCTTTGACAGAGTCTGCACAGATGCAGCCAGCATTTGGTCTGGATGAGGGTGATGCACTCATGCAGTATGCTATACAGCAATCACTCATGGAAGCTGGAACTGAGAATGATATGGTCTCTCTCCTCCTTCACTTTTTTTATTATAGGGCTCAAGAAGTGGCCATTCAAGCCTTTTGCAATAGGATTGAATTAGTTTAAAATTAGATTGAATAAGTTTTATTTTTTCCAGCAAGAATACAATAATTCCTCTATGGCTCATTGAGGCATAGTAATTCTGCTTTTGGTAGGTTTTTGCTGTACTTTTCAATCAGCCTCTCAGTTGTACTATGAAAAATCTACTTACACAGCAAGAAAATAGGCTAAAAAAAATGTTTCACATCAGCAATGGATTAAAAAAGAAAAGCTACTTTCACTCATTTTTTATATTCCATATAACTACTACTGTAAGCAGTTTTCTTCATCTGATACAAACATAGTACAAAATTATTTGCATTCTTGGCATTCTGTATATATCCCCCTTTTTTTTCACTAATACTATAATAAAATAAAATTAATAATAAAATACCCCAATTAATTTTTTTCACTTCATGCAAAGTTTACGAAATTGTCTAAAAATTTGTAAGTTAATACATGTACCCCAAAGGATGATTCTCCATAATGGGGTTATTCATTTTGCAAGCTCTTATCTATATTTATGTCCATGTCTAATCCTAGGCATTGACATGGTTTCCATGAAATTCCTGGATTAGTCAGTGCATAAATTACAAATTCAGCTTTCCTCCGTTTTTTGTGTTGTTTTTACTTTTTTTTTTTAAGTAAATGTTCACCTGCAGTGCTTATTGTTTGAGAGGAAGGGAGAGTGAATAGGAATGATCCTGTTTAGGTGAACGTGTGGGAGGCCTTGAGTGGAAGCAACCCAGGGCCAGTTGGTGATGGTCACCATCTCCCTGCTCCCTCCAACCGTCCCTTACCAGCTCCGCCTTTCAATGAGGAAGACACAATCCTCCAAAGGTCTTGTCACTCAGCTGTTCATTCATGTCTGCACTTCTTGTAGAAGTAGATGGTACAGTAGTGCACATAGATTGGGACTCCATCTGCTATAGGGCCATAGCTGAGAGCCTGGGTCTCGCATTCACCCCAAGCGAGTCTTTCTTGACCTCAGATGACCCTGACCTGGAACAAGCAATTCGACTGTCACAGGAGGAATCAGAGGCCTGGCAGCATCGTCAGGAGGAAGAGGAGGAGACTCTCAAGCGCATCCTTGAACTTTCTCTTGTTGAGAAGTAGTCAATCTGTGCTTGCTTTTTTGTTGTATGGGTTGCTGCATTGAATCAGCACTGTGATACCTTCCCTGACCAACTTTGATAATCATCTACCTTCCATGACATTTTTATTTCCTTGTGGCACCTGCAGGCTTGCTAACCAATACCTATGCAAGTTTGCTTATTATGGAATTTCCATTCCAGTGTCCATGCACCCTCAAGCAAGGGCTCTTGATCGACCTTCAAGGGTGAAGCTTCCATCTTCTGTCTTATTTAGTCATGCTAACAGCAAACCAACATCCTTTCTGTGTGTAAGTGATGGAATCCAAATACCCAATCAAATGATTCAAGATTGGATACAAAGTAATTAAATTCCTATTAGAACTTCTATTAAATAAAGAATTATTATTTCATGCCTTTCCAAGCCTACAGTATATCCAAGATAGTATTATTATTACCAGTCAATTTAGTCTGAACTTGGATGATTTCCAAGTTTTCCAGGTTTTCCTGGTGACCAGATAATATAATAGCTAACTATTCTTTCATATATTGAAAGTTGGTGCAATGATATACAGGTCAAATCTTGTTACAATGAACTTCAGGGGGTGTCCAGATTATTTTGTTGTACTGAAATTTCGTAGTGTTGAATATTGCTAGAAAGAAACTTGCTTGAAAAGAAACATTCTTTATTCAAATTAGCTATGCCTTCCAACATACAGACCACAGATACAGTAATTTTCCTCTTTATTTTGTTCGGAGAAAATCTGTACTTTTGGATTGCACAAAAGTGTTTTCTTGTCAACGTCATCGGAGAGTGCACCACACTTTCTCTTTTGCTTTGGTCCCAGAGCCGCTTTCCCACCTTTTCTTCACTTTTTGCATGATCCTTCAAGAACGTGGATAATGTAGAGGAAGTGATGCTGAATTATTTTGCCATGCCTCCTTTTTTCCTGCTGGAATCTACTTTTTCCACTACTTCCACTTTTTTCTTCTGACGAAAACTGCCAGCGTTTCTTGTTTCCCTTGTTAGCCATGTCTGCGGGATGGGGCTCACAGGTACACTGTTTTGTAAGTGATGAAGTTTCAGCCACGACTAACTGACTACTGTACGTTCCCCCTTGTGCTAGCATTTTTTATGCCACAAGCGTGGGAAACAGAGAATTCTGACTCTCTCAAGGTCCAAAGGGTAGGAGGAGGCTGTCGCTAACCATAGACAATTGTCTCTTTGTAAACCATCAGTTGTTAGATATTTTTCGTTTTAACAAGTGACCATTATATGTAGGACTGGAAAAAAGCATTCATTGTACTGAATTATTCGTAGTAATGAATTTCATTGTAATAAGATTCTACAAAGTACTATTACTAAGGGCCATCGACCGGGGCTTGGAAATATTTTCGCTATAGTGAGATTTTCGTTGTAACAAAATTTTACCTGTATACTTGCATACCTATAACATCTATTTTGTATAATATGACTATGATCATTAAGTTCATTCACATGACCCTCTCAAGCCAAAAATTTACTGCATACAAAGGAAGAGGTAAATGAATTTCATAATGTTCAACCACTCACCTGGAAAATGAAAATGCAGTTAACACATTTGCTGTCACCCCTCATGACCTGTTGGTACAAGAAAGTAACTTGGTGTTTTACATTCCTGAGTTGATTAATGCTATTAATGTGTAGTAATAATGATCTGTGATTGTATATATTGATTGATTGACCTGGAATGACTCTACATGTGTAGTTGTCACTGACCCAAAGCAACCAAATGTGGTGAATTTTGATCATGATGGTTGTTACTTGTCATGGGTATTTCATTATGAAAATATGTCAAAATTCTCATATTTCAGTCACAGACCTTGCCTTTACTTCCCTTAATGTTTATTGAAGTATGGGCAGTTGCACAGTGCCAGCATGCATGAGTGTATGTTTTCCTCCTGCTGCAGGAAATTCCCAAACACACATGCACCAGCAAAAAAAACCTGACATTAAAAAATTGTCACTTTCTGTCTCCATTTACAAACAACGAAAACCAGCAGGGGAAGAGCTGTTGTACCTGGGAGGGAAGAAGTTACAAAGGCCAGTGAACCTGTCATGAACTGCTCATAACATCATAAGAGGCACTATGATGGGTATACCCACAGGTGACAGCAGATGTGTTAATGCCATGAGTGGGTGAATGCGTTCAAGACATTGTATCTTGGGATGAGAGCTGACAGGTACAAGGGGCAGTCAATAAGTTCCAGGAACACCCCTATTACCTCTGAGATCCCTTACCTGAGGGAAATGTTAGTAATAGTAATTGAAAGACCATTCTTCAGTGTGCCTTTGCTACTAAATTAGGAATTTTTAAATAAACCTCTCTTGTAGGTATGACCTTTGGGAGTGACCCATGAAAAGACCACTGGGGAAACTGGGAAGACCAAATGAAAGTCACCCTCACACAAACCTTTCATTAGATCTTTATGGATTTCCTTGGCTGCAGTTGACCAGTGATCACACTTTGATGTAAGCACAACTTTCAAGGTCAAATAATTACCAGTTTTCCCAGTGGTTTTTACATGGGTCACTCCTGAAAGTCACATCTACAGAGTCTATTTTAAAATTCCTAATTTAGTAGAAAAGGCACATTGAAAAATGGTCTTTCAATTGCTATTACTAACATTTCCCTCAGGTAAGAGATCTCAAAGTTACATGGGTGTTCGTGGAACTTATTGACTGCCCCTTGTATCTTCCCCTGGCTGCATTTTGGCTTGGAGGGACCAAATGTATATATGTGTTATATGCATTGTTGAGAGATTCTGTTTCAGTTTGAAAAGAAGCGTCCCTGCTCTTGACGTAACCCTTCCTAATTGCCAGTATTAATCTTCAAGAATGGTGAGTTTTTCTGTTCAACACCATGTATCAGATTGAATAATCAAGTTGGTGCTGTTTTGTTGAAGATGGGTCATATGACTTAGAGATGTATAGAAGCAGGAAAATGAGAAATTTTCACAATTTTGATTATTCATTTCTCCCCTGGATTTCTCATTGGTTTGCAGTTTGGTTTTCACATCTTTGGGGAACCACTACGACCCTTCAATGAACAGTACCGTTGCTATTCAGTTTCCATGCTTCCTGGGAATGAGAGACATGATGTGGAGCGTGGTGGAAAGAGTGAGTTATGCTCCCCATCTTTGCACTTGACAAATAAGCTGGCTTTGGTTGAATTATTATTTTTTTCCTTGTCATAGTCATCATGCCACCATCAGCACTAGACCACCTAACACGCCTCAACATCAACTACCCAATGTTGTTCAAACTGATGAACCAGAAGACGAATCGTATGACTCACTGTGGGGTTCTTGAGTTTGTGGCTGAGGAGGGCAAGGTCTTCCTCCCCTATTGGGTCTGTACTTTCCTCTACATAAACTACTCCTGATTTTGAATCCTTTTCACTCATTCTCTCCTTAATTTTATGACAATGTTTTAGAAATGCCATATTCTTCAAAGGGGAGGGTACTTCTTATAATGAAGAAAAATATAAGACTTCCAGATTCCCATGGAATCATTAGTGATACTGTCACTTGACACAGTCCATTAATAGCAAAGAATGTCATCCTGTCAATTCGATGGTTAATTGTTTGTGTCCCTGGTAGTGCAGGCCATCAATTCAATGGATTGCTAAATGGGTTAAAACTCTGCAATTACCAAAGACTTCATAACTTTTCAAGATAATTTATATTAAAAACTGTTGTTGAAGAAGTATCTGAAAGTTAGGTTTAAAATTGGAGTCTTGGAGTAAAACTTAAGTTTTTGTGTGTGACAAAAATCATGAAGCACATTGCTTTATGCAGGATGGGCGAAAAATAAAGTTTGCCCATTTCATTTGGTTGCTCCATCTATACTAATCAAGACACAATTGTGCAATTTCCTTCAAGGGAATACAAATCATTTTTATGTAATTTTTTGTGGTGCAAAAATTGCAGGTGCACCTACATATTTTCTTTCACATGCAAGGATAACCATCATTCAAGCAGTGGCAGACTAGGGTGACAGCATTTGTCAAAGCAGAAGAGGCACATTAAACATTGCTTTCAATAATTTCAGGTAATTTCAATCCTAACTTTGTTTATAGTTGTTGCTACGATGCCCTTAATTCTTAATTTAAAAAAAAGAAATTAGGAATGCTTATTTTTGCATGTCAATGTAAATAATGCACATTCCATTACAATATTTTACCTTGTGCTACAAAAAAATAATTGTGTAAAACCCATTGGTTGTATTTCTTTGAAATACATTCCATTCAATCAAAGAAGAATAATAGTATTTATCCTCAAAAATTGTATGTCATAATCAGTACAGATGAAAAAGGGTGAACTTTTTCTGACCCTTCTCAGAATACCATCGCATGGTATTCTGGAAGAGTAATAGTGATTGAATTCTTTGAAGACAGGACCATTCAGCATATTTTTGTTTTGGGTTCCTCATATCTAAGAAATATAGATTTGCAGAGAGAGAGAGGTGCCCTTATCCTGAATGAGAATGTTTTGTGAGGAGGGAATATCATCTTGACTTCACTCTGTAACATTTCAGTGTAGTTGATTCCTTTTTGCCCAATGCTTTTTATGGCTCAATTTATATATTTGCTCAATGCTTTTTTAAAATGTATTATTGTATAATCAGAGTCAGAGCTTTATGATGGGTGGCTGGCAAGAGTCTGCTGAAAATTGGCAATACCATGAATTGTTTTGAATTCCAGCTACAGTAAGATATAGGCCTCTACAGAATGGGTATTCAATCATTGTCCTCCAGATAGCAGAAGGGCATAGATTTGAACAGTGGTTATTTTGAGGGCTAAGGGAGGTGTCATGTTTCTGTGTACCGATTTCAGTAGTGATCAAAACAATGGTTAGTTTTTATTTGATGTTTCCAGAAACTTTTTAGACACCCCTCATATAAAGTATGTAGTATCCAAATACTGTCTTTTTCTGTTTTCATCTCCTTTATTTCTGTTCAGTTTCCTCTAGAGGTGTGACATTTAATTTTATCTTTTAAAAAAATTTCAAAAACTTTTTTTTTTAATTTTTTGAAACTCTCGTTCATTGATAAAAAAAGCAGACTTTTAAGAACTTATTGCCAGTTGAGCAAAACATCTCTTCATGTATTTATTATTGAGGCCTCTCTTAGTGATGATCATCAGTCTCAATTCATTGGATGCAGAGTAAGTGAGTATATACAGTTAAAAAGGCATCTTGCTTCTATGGATCTCATCTCACAAACTCAACATGTTTGGCATCTGAGAAAGTTTATAAACAGGGAGATTGGCACAATGTTGCAGATGATGAGGAATCTCTTACTGGAAGAAGGTGGGATGGTGCAGGTGGAGAGTGTGACATTGCCTGTGGCAACATTCTCTCGCTTTCAACCTCAAGCCACAGACTTCCTTGACATAACAAACCCGAAGGCTGTGCTTGAAAATGCATTGAGGAACTTTGCATGCCTCACCACAGGTGACATGATTGCCATCAACTATAACAACAAAGTCTATGAGCTCTGTGTCCTTGAGACTCGACCAGGAAATGCTGTCACCATCATCGAATGTGACATGAATGTCAGTGGCTCTCCTGTCTCTCCTCTGTACACTGATTGAGAGAAAATTTGATTGAGTGAATGGATTTTTTATATTCCATAAATCAGATGCATAACTCAAATATCTCCATTCCAAATTCAAATACAAGCTGGTCATTCTAATATTTTTGGTGTACTGAAGTGCTACATACGAACTTTATTTTTTATGTATGCTCAGTGCATTCAAATAGTTCTGGTCATTAATTTTTTAAATAGGAAACTAACAATGCTCCTTATTCAACATTAGTTCATATTTTGGAATAGTCTCTGTACTTGTCACCAACCAAATTGAGTCTGATTTTAAAAAGCATCAGCAAATTTTTCTGTTGGGGTATTTTCACCTTACTGGGAAACCAACCCCATAGCAGCCTCTCTAGAAAATATATGTCCATGCAAGCTTGTGGAAAGACCGAATGCTTAGGGGACATATTACCCACAGTTCACTAGCATCTACCATTTGCTTTTGATTACAATTTTTTAATTTCCTGTAAAGCAATGAAGCAGATCACAACCCTTCGCTTTTCTTTTCTAAATTGAGTAATTTTTGTCTCTTGCTTGAAACAAATAAATCAGCATTAGGCCTTGAATATTTTTAATGCAAAAATCCACCATATTAAAAATATGTATGTAGCAAGCATTTCAAGCAATAACATGGCACAATAAGTTTTTCTTGCTAACAAGGTAGATAGTGGAGAAAAAAATTATTATATTTTTGAATACACCTCATACAGTTAAAACCTTTTCTTTTTTTTATTATTCAAGTAGCTACCTTTGCACCCTTTTTTTTTTTGCCTTCACAGAGCATCACAACTTGTAAGTACCCTGTCCAGTAAATGAATGGCCAGATCTTGAGATTTAAAAAATAAATAAATAAATTATTAGTCTGCAAGTGGCAATTGAAGAGAATATTACTTGAGGACTGATGGAGATGAATAAGTTCCAAGTGACATATGGATCTTGTGCCAGGTGGATTTTGCCCCGCCAATTGGATACCAGGAACCAAAGAAAATGGATTCAAAGGTCAGCATGGACTCAGAAGAACATTTAGCAGAGGTCAAGGGGTCAGACCCACCCTCTGCTTTCCCAGGCGAAGGAAAGAGGTCTGTCCGCAATTCATGCAATTTCTACTTTATTTTTCAGCAATTTGGGAAATTTTGTCATTGCCATCAGTTGGAAGACTGATGCATCATTATTTCCAATTCTAGTACTGTGCTTTGAAAAGCATTGTTTCTCCCTGTCAGTAAAAGAAATATAAAAAAAAACATAGTTAGGCACCATAATTGCCTTCATATAGGTTGGTCTCACGTATTAGTCTACCCCAGTTTTTGAGATACCTGATTTGTTAAAAAAAAAAAAAACGGTTGACCTATATGCATGCAATCAAAGAAATTATTTGGAAAAGTTTTTGCTTCAGAGTAAATCCTTTTGCACTGAGTGTGGTGTCAAATGACAACTACTATTTTACAGAGGTTATTATCAAGTTCTGAGAACTTTTTACTGCAGAAAATATACAATTACATAATACATACATTTATAATGAATTTTGCTATTTTAGAAAATTTACCTCATTAAAGTAGTTGTAGTGTAGTTAGGGCTGTAACAATGGCTCTTTTGAAAGCATTGAAGGATTAGGAATTAACTGCTCCTGAACAGCATGGTGGAAGAAGTGGGGCAGGGGGGGGGGATGCTGGTATTTAAAGTATGTCCTTGTTGAAATATGAACCACGAGAGAAGTAGCCAAGATTCTTATCAAAATCATTACTCTGATGACTTCCTGTGTGTCTAACTTCTAATTTATCTGTACCCATTTTTCTCAGAGGAGGAAAAAAATCTTGAAATACTTCCCTTTCATAATCTGCCCTGTGGGGACATATTTCAAAAGTAGGATTTTTTCTGCATTCAACAATCGAACAGGTACTTCTGAGCCAAGTTTCAATTTTTTAAAATGATTTCTCTCTGTTTCGTTGAATGGAACAAAAACTCACTATGGTCACACCTTAGGTGCTCCATTATCTTTCATTATTATGAAATCATTAATTCACTTTCAAAGTGGCAAAAACTGACCGAGATTTTTTTATCGAAATCAATACTCCAATTATTTCTTGTGTACCTAACATCAAATATCTTTATGTGTCCCTTTTTGTCAAGGCAGAAAATAAATTTTGAAATACTTCCTTTCCATCATCTGCCCTGAGGGGACATATTTCAAAAGTAGGATTTTATCACTCAGCTATCCCTCATGTGCTGCTGTACCTTTCTATCTCTCTGTTTCTTGAATCAAAAAATGTTCAGGAAAAGGTCTCTTCCAAATAAAGGTGCCCTTAGGGGTTTTACTTAAAAAGTACAATTTTTTTTACTGAAATCAGTACTTGGGGAACTATATGCCTACCAAGTTTCAACCTTATACATTTGCCATTTTTGCTGGTGAAAAAACATCTTTTGGAAAAGCCAACCCACCCAAAAGCTATGCCCTGAGGTGATGCACCACAAAAGCTGAATTTTCCCTCAGCATCACATCAGTTATGCATATGCCAAGTTTCACCTTTCTATTTCTGTGAAATTTGCAAGGACAAAAAAAAATTATTCTTTGAAAACATTTCCCCCTGAAATATGAACCCCCCCCCCGTGGCATGTACCTCCCAAGTTGGATTTTTTTTCTGAAAAATTACCACAAAGTAAAGAATTACAGATGAAAACTTCCTTATTGTTGACATTTGTTCATTGTTCTTTTAGAATTGCTTGAGTGTTAATGAAAATATTTTAGTTCAACTTAAACTGCTTGTGTTGTTCTTTCTTATTTTTCCATTGAAATAAATTGGATCCAAGGAGCCAGACAGCTTCCAAACAAATGGACTGCAAAGGGTTAACCTTATGCATCATATGTGTTTTGAAACACATAATAGTTTTTAGCATCTGCCATGCAGTGGATGCCACCCCTCCAGGGTTCAAAACACATCTATGACACATAGGGTTAAAAAAGTAGTTTGTACTATGTCCATTATTTTTTTCTCTTCGCTTCATATGTTTCTGATTTTATAAAATATTAATCTTATTTTAAAACAAGAAGATTTTCTTGAAACACAGTTTCATAAATGTAGCAAAAAAAATTAAATTTGATATGCTATCAATATTGACATTTACAAGGTGTTGAAATGGTTGCCAGCATTTTTTTAGCACCCCTGCCAAAGTCGTGCGATGCCCATTATGAGGTGAATTAAAGGTTCCTAGAGGTGGATCATTTCACCTCAACTCAGGTGATTGCCTGTGCTTGACCGTCTTATAATTCAATGAACTTTTCAACCTTAACTTTCAAGGGACAGTTGGATCCAGCTTATACTTGACAGAGAGGTTCATGGGTCTAAGTGTTTTTTTTTATTTCCACAAGATGGTGCTCTATCCTGATAGAGGGCACTGTTGTTAACCATATAATTGAGGGTGATTAAAAAAAGGTGTAATGCTCCACCTGTATACTGTGTAATGGGACAATACATGGCTCAGAGAATTGTCCAGAAACAAAAACCAAGACAATCTTCTCAACACCTCCTATATGTTGAATATCAAGAGTTTATGAATCTTATATTTTTTACTTGAATACATGGATCCTACTTTCTCCCTTTGAAAAAGGTGGAACTTTCACCCAGTCAACAACATTGCCCTCTATTGGGATACAGTGCCATCTTGCAGAAGTGAAAAAAAAAAAACTTTTTTGACTCGTGAACCTCTGCCAAGTATCAGCTGGATCCAACAGTCCCCTGAAAAGTTAAAGTAGAAAATTTTAATTGAATTCTGAGACGGTCAAGCACATCACCTCACTTGAGATGGAATGATCCACCTCTAAGCACCTTTATTTCACCTCTACATGGGCATTGCATGACATAGGCAGGGGTTCTGAAAAAAAGCTAGCAAGCACTTCAACACTGTCAAATTCAATCGAATATCGAATTTAACTTTTTTTGCTGCATTTATGAAACTGTGTTTCTCCCATAGAAAATGGTAGAGCATTTTTCTTTTAACCACCCTATATATATATACAGGTTGCATGAAAAGTTCGGTTGTAAATGTTTCAGTTGAAAAGAAATTGTCGACTTTGCAGAATGAGCAGGTGCCAAATCCTGTTGAAGAATCCATCAGTCATTTTTTTTATGTTTCCTTTCCCAGGGATGTAATACCTTCCATAAAATCCTGTCTTGGTAGGATTTGGCATTGATCTTGACTCCTTTATCCACAAAATCCAAAGGGGCCTTCCCATTTGAAGTGATTTTGCCAAAACAATCACTGAAGCTGGAAAATTACTGTGACAGACGATCTCTCAATTGGAATTGGCTGATGAACCCCTTGGCAATAATTGTCTATTGTTCTGATGGTTGTGGCTTCACCCAACTGTGAACATTTTTTCTTCTGTAAAAGGAATTGAAGAATGGTGGCCAGCAGCAATAATTTTCTGGATCTTTTGGGCTTCTTCGAGCATGTTCGCTTTCATCATTTCAGTTAGGAAGTGGGCCTTTGTCAGCTTGTAATGACCCTTGCTATTTTTTACCATTTTGTGCACTGAAAAGTCACTGAAAAGTCACTGAAACGTCACTGAAAAGTCAAAAGTCAATGATTTTCATGTTTTTTGCCATAGCCAGCATTGACCATTGTGAATTTTGCTTGATTTGTTTCTTGATGCATTTTCAGTCAGCAGAAGCCTATGAAGGGGAAAAAAAGGGGGGAAAAGGCTAGGCATGAAACAAATCAAAGAAAATGCATTCACTGCTTTGAACATACTGTGTTGTTACTGTCAGCTTAGATTAGGGAAATGAGGTAAAGCCAGTGACAGTATGCTGCTCCCTTACCCAAAGGACTCCCAATGAAGCCTTAGACACAGTATATGTTAATCTATGACATAAAGCATAGACCTAATTTTTTGGAATGTTCTTGGCAGGTTAGATGGGAAGAAGCGAGCATCAGATACGCCATCACTGTCAAGTAGTGATAAAGGTCCGGGAACACGGCAGCGGGGTATTCCAGACTATGATTACAAACCTGGATTCATCAGGTTCATCCGTGGGTCCCGACCTTCTGCCCCAGATGTAGTGAGCTAAACCTCATCATTATCATGTTGCACTTCCTTTCATCCTGTTTTTGAATTTCCTGTTTGTGGATGAGCAGAAGAAGGAGGAGGGGTTCAAGGCATTCTCTGGTGAGGGAAAGACACTGAAGGGCAGCAAGCGCATCACATAAAGGAAGCAGATGAAATGGAACCAGAAATGTCCATTCAGATTTTCTCACTGTGATCTAGCACAAACACTTGTGCTTCAATAGAGCCATTTTTGTTTTTTAATGTTTGTCAACTCAAATTTATTTCCATTCATAGCCCTACCCATATTTTCCACTGTCCTATATGTAGATTCCCTTAAGAAAAGGTACTTTGTGAAAACCCTTCCCATTAAGAGTAGCAATTCAGATCAAGGACCCTGATGGTAAGTGCAGGAGTGAATGAAGCAGTTTCATCAGCCAACAGTGGTCCATGATGCTCCTAAGGGTGTCACCTACTCCCATTTACTCACTTCCAATTAACTGCCATGCTGTGACACTTCCCCTTTTCATTCCCTTCCACCTTAGGTTTCTGCACAATAAAAGCAAAAGAATGAGACAATGACACCTTTACTTCACCATTCTATTCAATATCACAAGGAAAGAAAAAATCTTTTTATAATTTAAATTCCAGGAAGATGAGCATGTCTTCCAAGCATCTAAAGCTGCACTCATCATCCTGCATCAGATCCTTTAGTGTGAGAATTTAGGAGTTAGGACCAGGTCTTGGCAATGAATTCCTCCCCTTTGGCAATGTTCTTCTTCAGTTCAGGCAGTGCCTTGGCCAGTAACTCTTCCTCAAATGCAGAAAGCTTCCCCAGTCCCAGGTTCTTGGCAAGTCCCTCTTTCTGCATAACAAATATGGCATTCTAATTTATTAATGTGGGATGTTTATAGATGCTAAGGAGAATTATGGCACAGGCTAATTGATATGACTTGCATAGAACTTAAAAAATAAATAAATATTCAAAGTCATGGCTCACAAATGTCTGTCAAAAATTCAGAGGAAAAATTAATAAAAGAGAAAAGCCCTCAACAGAAAGTTGCCCTTCATCATAGTTAAATGCTTGTTAAATTCTCCCATCAATCTACCATAGATAGCATCAGGGGAGTGGACTTCCACATGACTCAAGTCCTTTTTGGGAGACTTTTTTAGAGTCAAGAGAGTCCTATTATTGAGGTTTATAATATGGAATAGTTTTCTACTGCACTTTCCTAATTGAATGAAAGATCCTGGCCCTATGAAAACCAGAGAAGAACAACTTGTTCCCTCAAGAATGATAAACAATTTTGATATGCTTTTGGATTTGACCATATCCTGGGGAAAAAATAGTAATTTCTTCTAGGGAAACTTCAAACAAAGAAACCTCACCAAGGCCACTGCACAGCTAGTGGTACCTTGTAACACAATGACATAGCTTATTTTTTAAATAATAAATTCAGGATTTAACTTTCCAAGCAGCCAGTTATCACCATTACATTTACCAGTTATTGGTACCAATTACTAGTAATTTTTGTTTTTGAACATGTAGGGAATTGAATCAGGAATAATGACCCCAAGTTGGAGTGGAGTAGAGAAGTAGGTAGCTGAAGTGACATCAGACTTGACATAAGCACATTCAACAATTCCTGATTCTCCATGAATTGCCCTCAGAAGAGCAAATGTGAAACGGGCTCCTGCATATGCCATGCTGAGTGTCGCTGATCCAGCCCCAGCCTTCGCCTTCACCACCTCCGTCCCAGCTTCCTGTTTGTAGTTGGAACAAAGCCCTCATTTTGATGACTCACACTGTGCATGGTGCCATGTGCAAGCTTGTCAAATGGGGGAAGCATAGAACCTGGATGCGTTCTGTGAGAGCACTCAGCTCATCCTTGGGGAAATCCACACGAGGTGTAGCCTGGGAGATGAGTGGAATGATGGTCACACCTGAATGACCTCCCACCACTGGCACATTCACCTTTGTTGGATCCAGCCTCTATGCATTCAGGAGATTATCATGCAGGGATGGGAGCTTTTATTCTTGGCTGGTCATCATATGAGGCAGTAATCACATGGGGCAAGAGGGTAAATGCAGGGTATTCCACCAAAGTTTGATGCATTTATTTTTGCAATAAGTCAGGATTGGTAATTCATAGAATTGTTTTGTTTATGCAAGTTAGAGTCTAGTCCATGGAGACTTGCTGGAAATGGAGCTCAGGAATGAGTTTTTCCAAACACACTATGCGATTTGTGTTTTCAACATCATATTATCATAACAACACAAATGACCATTGTCGTTGACATGGACCACGCAAGAACATCATATTGTCCCACATGGTCAAACTTTTTCACCACAGGTTCTGTTGGAGCCACAAAGTGTCCAAGACAGCCCTCAATTAGCACTCTAGAAAAAATCTCAAATCTAGGTTTTTGTGGAGGATTTGACAAACAAGTCATAGTACTGCCATTGGTTTCTGCTGATAGTTGGTGTACTTGCATTGCCAGACTGTGCCAACAAGCTGCACTTATAGAAAGCTATGGCTTCTGGTATGTGAACCAAGGGCTGTTTTTGAACCTTGAAGGGTCCAACAGAACCAACTGCATAAAATTTTACCACATAGGACAATATGGTATTCCTGCTTTGTGCACCTCATAATTCAAATTTCACATTGAAGGCCATTAGCACTGCTACAATAGATTCATGTTGGAAGTACAGCTCAATAATGTGTGTTCAGCAAAGCACACCCTAAGGATCCATCCTCAGCAAATCTCTGTAGACTAGACTGGAACTAGCAGAAAGTGATTATGCTATGCTTTACCAATCCTGACCTGCTGCAAAAGTAAATCTGTCAGACTTAGGTGAAACACCTTACACTTCATTTCACAAGACTACTGCTTTGTCTGCCCATGAGCAGAGGATGCTAGAAAACAGATTATTGTATTCAATTTCTCATGGTGAGAGGGGGTGGGGGGGGGGGTCATCATGGAAATCCAGAGTGAACACTGACCTTTGCTTCTGCAATAAATGTATTTGCCCTCACAAGATCCAGAGTGGAGACTCCAAAAATTTTCTTTGGGTCAAAAACTCCCATTTTCTTGAAAACCTCACATGCAATGGGCACTGTGCTGTTTACCTGAAATGAGCAAAATATGGTCAAAACTAAAATTCAACAGAGGTCAAATAAATAAGCTTCAAACAAAAGAGAATGAAAGAGTGGTACTGGGTTTGCAATGATTCCAATCAAAGCCTTGGGGCAGACTTCAGCACATGCTTTGGTCAGATCTCTCACAATAGAAGCATTTGTATTAAAGAGATCATCTCTGGACATCCCTGGCTTTCGAGGAACTCCAGCTGGGATGATGACAATTTCACAGCCCTTCAGAGCATCCTGCAATCAAGAGAACTTCAATGAGTACCTCAACTAATACAATCCTTCAGGGTCAATCCACCTGACCAAGATCCATGGCTAATTTTTCCATTTAAAAAGGTTCTAGTGCCTCTGGTGGTGCCTCAAGGAAGTATTGATGAGAATATGATACGTTGCTGATAATTTTAACATCTGACTTAAACTTTAATGAGGTATCTTGTAGTAGTATCAACAAAAAAAAAACAGGGAGGGAGGGAGGACTTCAAGCATACTAGAATGGAGATCTATGAGGTTTATGTTATGCATTGAATTAGATTCCACACAGACTGACATTCAGACCATCCTCCTACAGGTGGCAACAATATTTCACTATGGATGTTGATGCATCCATAGCGAATTATTATCCATGTGATGAAAACTTAAATCATTCAAAATATCATCTTCAAGCAAGGCCCATATCAAAAGATTGCCTGGAGGTCACATTTGAGAACCTTTTGTCAATAATCATATTTAATAAGGGGTGTAGTCACATTAAAACACAGGAGCTATGAAGGTCATTGGTGATACTCAACTGGTTTGCATGGTTTGCATCCATGACAACTAATGTGTTTCTTCCTTCAATTGGAAAGGTTCCAGGTTGCTTCAGGAGGTTCCTTTCCAGCAGAAAAAAAGGAACACACTGGCTGCCATGCATCAAAATTCAAACCTGTTGAGTACCACAAGTGATCCTCATGGGACCTAACAACTTCTCATCTTGAAATTCACAACCAAAAACACCTGCTGAAGTTGAAAATATATACATTTTTGTGAACCACAACATTTCTTATCTGATGAACTTCATTAAAACAGGATCCATGCCATCACTTCTACTATCGTGTTCATCAAATGTGGGGCTGGCCAGGAGTAAAAAGTCTAAAAATGGTTTTTATTACTTCTCCACCGAGGCTAAATATTACTTGAACTTAGGCCTAGATTTCACCTTCAACTGGTTGGGTCCTTCATATCCCTTGACTTTGCTCTGAGTATTGATGTGACTAAGGTCAGCTGCTACTCCCGGTGTGTGGACAATGTCATAAAGCGATAATTCTGACACAAGGTGGTTTTCCTTCAGGAGGAGAGATAATGGCTGACCAATCCCCCCACTGGCACCCAGCACAGCAACCTTGCTGTTGGCCTGCAACAAAACAGTACTATTAATGATTTTGGCTGTCTATCAGACTTCAGCATTAACTTATGCCTAGGAAATATTAGTTACCTTGGCAGAAGTACAGAAGCCCCTGGCAATTGCCCTAGTTAGGGGTTGTGCTCTGGAGAACATCATGAATACCAAGCCTGTCTATTGGGGTCCAACACATAAAACCTAGGTTGAATAAAAGGTAGATTTGTACTAATACAAAATGGCTAGGCCTAGGAAACTCAGCATCAATGATAGGCCTTCAGGCTGCCTGCCGCACTAACTCAAAAGATTAAATATATATATATAAATATATAAAATGAAAAAAAGAGCCCCTTCGATCACCAAGTTAAGCAACGTCAGCATGGGCAGAACCTGGATGGGTGACATGGGAACATCGAGCTGATTGCCTAAGGCGGTGCTGGGCACTTCACCGATAAAGGGCGGAAGAGACTCTCGACAGTCCAACGGCCGTGGTGCCCCTGGATCAGAGGATCACCATGTGCACCCAGTGTAACAGGTGGCTGTGGCCTATGCGCCTCACCTGCCAGGTCCTCACACTCATGGAAACATGATGATGCCACAACTAAGAAAAATTCATACTGGCTCGGCCGTCGCCCAGGATAAAAAGGGCCGCGCTGGCTGCAGGTCTACCGGTGCTAGCTTCGTGCAAACTGATCACAGCCGACCGACGATCTTCATTGGACAATGGCATGACGAAACTGATAGTTTCATCAGCACTTTGAGAATCCCCAAAGTCGCGCGTACCTTAAGCTGCGTGTAGAAACCATGCCAAGCATATATGAATGTGGTAGCTTAGAATCGAGAACAGTTTTTTAAAGTGTCCAGAACTTGTCACCCTGAAGTGTCACCCTGTATATAGATATATATATATATACAGGTCCTCACACTCATGGCAACATGATGCCACAACTTAGAAAAATTCATACTGGCTCGGCCGTCGCCCAGGATAAAAAGGGCCGCGCTGGCTGCAGGTCTACCGGTGCAGTCAGTGAAAAGTTGGCGTCCGGAGGCTCTCACGTTCCTGTTCCTCACCAGGCAGAAGTGGGAGTAAGGGCTACTGGTGAAAGACCCAGCTCTGTCCCAGGGGCCGGGGTTGACAGTCGACCCTCCTCTGCTACAGAAAATATGCCCCCCGCACGGAAACGTATGAAATGGACAAAATCCATGAACATTGACGTCATGCGGGCTTACTATCAAGCACGATCCGATGCGCCAGGAGCGTACCGGAAGAAAATGCTCGAGCTCTGGAACCAATCTTACTGAGCTGAATATCAACGAGCAACGACTTGCAAATCAGAGACTCTATATCGAGCAGAACAACATGCTCTCAGAACTGGAGCGAGAAAACATCGCACAGGAAGTCCTAACACCTTCCAGCCTGTCAAACCAGAACGTAGTGTACCCGAAAACGAGGAGGCAACACCTGAAGAGACTCCACTTCAGGTTCCACCGAGGGCAATTGAGGCTCCTTCAGAGCTAGAAGCGCCCTCTGAAGAACTAAGAATCGCCTTCCTCGACCATCTGGAAGATCAGCGGTACCTACAGATGTCCGATCGACCCCGACTAAGACCTCTAAAGCTCAACCTTGCCATCTCCAAAGACATCGAGGAGAACAACCAGATCATTAGCTCCTGCGACCTTGCAGACTGCGAGCTGAACCACCGTGCCTTCGCAGCTGCCATTACCATCCATCAGAAACGGCAAGGACTAAAAAAGCCGACCCCGAAATCCGGGAAAGGCCCTTCCTCGATTCCACCTTGGAAGAGGCGCCTCCAAAGTCGAATCGATGCAGCAAGGCGAGACCTTAGCACCCTTCAAGGGATCAAGAAGGGGAACACATCCCGGAAAGTGAAACTGACCTACAAGCGGCTATGCCCCAAGTACAAGATTACCTCCGATGCCGATCTCCCGACCGCCATATTGAACGTGAAGATGAAGATCCAAACTTGGGCCCTGAGGATAAGGCGGTACACGAAAAAGGTCAATTACTTCCGGCATAACGAGTGCTTCACGAATAACCAGAAGCTATTCTACCGCGAACTGGGCGCGAAACCCATAGAAGTGAATGACGAAGATTCCTGGCAAGGCGGAAGTGGAAGAATTCTGGTCGAACATCATGAAATACCCGGAGAGCCACAACGTCGATGCCACATGGCTCCGACGTCAGAGGGAGCTAACAGATACTCCCGAAATGAGTGACCCCCAGATTACAGCATCTGATCTGAAGAAGGCACTCAAACAAACAGCAAACTGGAAGAGCCCCGGACACGACCGTCTTCCGAACTTCTGGCTTCTGGCTTAAGCAATTAACATCGCTACATGAACAACTCGCCAGAGAAATGCAGAAAGTAGTGACGGACCCCTCGGAGATGCCGGATTGACTCACGGCAGGAGTCACATACCTACTGCCAAAAAACACCGAGACCCAACTACCTAAGAATTACAGGCCTATCACCTGCCTGCCAACCGTCTACAAAGTGCTGTCTTCCATCCTAGCGGCACGAATCGAACGACACATATATGACAACAACATCATGTCGGAAGAGCAAAAGGGTTGTCGGAAAGGATCATACGGCTGCAAGGAACAGCTCTTACTCAACCGTATGGTCATGGATGATGCCAGAACCAGGAAGAAGAACCTCTCGATGGCATGGATCGACTACCGGAAGGCATATGACTCGGTGCCCCATTCATGGATCATCGAGTGCCTCAGGATGTACAACATCAACCCTGTGGTGGTCAACTTCCTCGAACGGACCATGCCTCGCTGGAAGACGGTCAAGGGACAGGACTCCACTCTGACAACACGCGAGATTTCCATCCAACGCGGAATCTTCCAGGGAGACACGCTATCTCCTCTACTCTTCTGTCTGGCTCTCAACCCTCTCAGTACTGAGCTAGCTCGGACTGACTGTGGTTATTACGTAGGAAAGGGGAAGAATGCAGACCATTGCATGAACCACCTTCTCTACATGGACGACCTGAAACTCTACGCCTCCAACGAGAAACAGCTCGAAAGCCTTCTCAACGTCGTCAGCATATTCTCGAAAGACATCTGCATGAAGTTCGGACTCGACAAGTGCGCGAAGCTCTCTATCCACCGCGGAGTCCTCACCCCTATGGGAGATATCACCACCACGAACGACGAACAACTCCGAGAGCTTACGGCCCCTGACACCTATAAGTACCTCGGTGTGGAAGAGAACTCTTCCGTGGCTGTCAAACGCACGAAGCAGAGACTGACGACTGAATACAAACGCAGAGTCCGCCTCGTACTAAAGACCGAGCTGTCCGGCAAAAACAAGATCTCTGCCCTCAACAG